TAATAAAAAGAGAATAAAAGAAAGAATAAGAGAAATAAAAAAGATAAACATAAGTATAGAATAAGAAGATATAACAGAAATAAAAATAATAAAAGAAATAAGAAAGATAAAAAAGAAGAATACAATAAATACATAAAAAAGAGAAAAAGATAAAGAATAAATGAAGATAATAAAGAATAGAAAGAATAAAGAATAAAATAAGAAATAAAAAAGATAAGAATGAAATAATGATAAACAAGATAATAAGAAATAGAATAAAACATAAATATAAAAGTAAATAATTTTTAAATTATATTTCTTTCATTTTATTATTATTTTATTATTCTATTTCTTTTATTCTTTTTAATTTTCATCATTTATTTTATTTTTTATTCTATTTCAATTTCAATCAATTATTATCATTATTTCTTTTATTTGATATTTTATTTAATATCTTCTATCTTTTCATTTAATTTATCTTCTCTCTATTTCTCTTTATTCTTATTTCTTATTTTATCTTTTATTATTCTAATGATTTGTTTCTATAAATGATATTATGATATTTATAATAATAAGTAATATATTTAAAGTAATAATGAAAGTGAAATGATTTAAATATAAATGAATAATGATTTAATAATGAAGTATTAAATAATAAACATTATATTATTATAATTCATTCTATGTTAATTTTCATATTGATATTATTTATAAATATATTCTTCATTCTTACATCATTCAATTATTTTATTATTGATAATTATATTATTCTCTTATTCACATATTATTGAATTATAATCATTTTAATTAATCTCATATTTTCAATCAAAAATAAAAAGAAGTAATAAAAAGAAGATAGAAGATAGAATAATAGATAGAAAGATAATATGATATTCACCATTTTATAAACATCAGAAATAATGAGAAATGAAAATATATGAAAAACAGAAAAAGAAGAAAAGAAAGAATTAAAGAAACAAAGATTATATTAATAAACAAAATGATAAATGATAGAGAAGTAATAGAAATGAATGAAAACATTAAAATAACAAGAACAATATCAATAACATATAATAATGATGATATATAATAATATAAATAACATAAAATAAAAGTAATGAATAATTCAAGATAATCAATAGAAAATATAACACAAATAATGAATAATTAATAATTGAATTAACTAATAAAATATCACAATTTATTCAATATATAAAATGAGAAATATAGATATTATTTAACAATTCATTGTTATTATTTATTATTCTCTTTCTTCATGTATTTAATTTCTTTTTATAATCATTTATATTTCTTTATTATCATTTCTTTATTTATTCTCTCTTCTTATTCATTTTTATTGAATATTAATTTAAAATTAATTACAAAATCATTTTATAATTTATTATTTCTTTTCTATATTATTTTCATTCTTCTTATTTATCATTAAATATAATTCTTTTATATTCTTATGTTTTTCATTATCTATTATTACTATTTATTATCATTTTATTATCATTATTCATCATTATCATTTTATTCTATTGATTTAATTCATTAATATTACATCAAATGAGAATAATAATAATAATAATATAAAAAGAAATAATAAGAAATTATAAAATTCGATAATAAGAAATAATAATAAAATAATTAAATGAAATATATTCATTTATAAAATACATATTTATTTTTTAATCAACATATTATGATATAAAATATAATATAAATATTAATTCTATTCATTTATTTATTTATTAATAAATAAATCAATAATTTAATATAAGATTATATTAATTTAATATACATTTATGATATATATTAAAATCAATTTTCATTAAATTTAATAAAATATGTAATTAATATATGTTTATATATTTGATTAAATACATATTCATGTTTTAATATTTGATTATTATTCATTATTTTATTTATTTATTTTGATTTATATTTTATTATTTATATTATTTATTTTATTCATGTATTTGATATTTATATTTTAAATATATTCTTATTATTTAATTATTTCATTCATTTCTTATTAATATTATTCATATTCATATTTCATTTAATTTAACTTATAATTTAATTTTATTGATATTTATATTATATAAATACAAATAGATTAATAAAATTGATATTTATTTATCTATAATATCAAATTCATTTAATTTATATTTAATAATACAAAATCATAAGTTAAAATATAGAATATAAGAATAATCAACAATAATAAAATAATAATAAAGATATAAAAGATAATAAATAAATAAGATAAAATAGAAGATATAAGAAATAATAAACATATAGAATAAATAATAATAAATATTTTAACACAATAAAAAAGAATAATATCAAAAAGAATAAATAAGAAAAGAATAATAATAATATAAATGATAATCAATTATAATTTATTTCTACTTCAATTTATATTGTATTTCATTTATTGTGTTTTTATTTCATTCATCACCATTTGTTAAAACAAAAACTTGGTATTCTTTTATTTTTCTTTAATTCATCTTTACATCCACAATCATAAAAACAACCATCTCCAAATGACATAATTGATGATGGAATATTAATTGATTTTAATGATGAACATCCTTTAAAACAACAATTTCCTAATTTGGTAATTGATGATGGTATATTAATTGATGTTAATGATGAACAATTAGCAAAACAATAATTTCCTAATTCATTAATTGATGATGGTATATTAATTGATTTTAATAATAAACAATAACTAAAACAATCACATCCTAATTCATTAATTGATGTTGGTAAATTAATTGATATTAATGATGTACATCCACTAAAACACCTATCTCCTAATTTAATAATTGATGTTGGTATATTAATTGATGTTAATGACGAACATTCTTTAAAACAATAATCACATAATTTAGTAATTGAAGATGGAATAATAAATTCATTAATATCTTTATTTTCAATATTCTTTTCATTGATTATTTCTAGAGTATCTGGTATTTTAATACTAACTAACACTGGTTCATTCATAAATATTCTTTCTTCACTAATAAATTGTAGATTTTCTATATTAATTGATTTTAATGACTCACATCCATAAAAACAACTATTTTCTATTTTACTAATTGATGATGGTATATTAATTGTTGTTAATGATGAACAATTACCAAAACAACAATTTCCTATTTTACTTATTGATGATGGTATATTAATTGATGTTAATGAATAACAATCTCTAAAACATGCATCTCCTATTTCATTAATTGATGATGGTATATTAATTGTTGTTAATGATGTACATCTATTAAAACAAAAATGTCCTATTTTACTAATTGATGTTGGTATATTAATTGTTGTCAATGAATCACAGTATCTAAAACAATTACACCTAAGTGATTTAACTTCTGGTGGTATTGTATTTCCATATTTATTTCTATCTTCTTTTGTATATTCTATATTTTTACATGAATTTCCTGCTTCTTTCTCTTTTAAATATGTTGAATAATTTACTAAATACCATATTGCTTGTTTAAATATTCTTCCATCATTAAATATTTTTTCATATTTATTATAAATATGAAATGTTTCAATATTAGGAAACAATTTTCTTGAATATTCATTTAAAGGAATTGGATTAAAATGAAATCGTTCAATATTTCCTTGAAATCTTTTAACTCCTATTTCTAAATTAATAAAATCATTAATATCATTAAAATACATTGATGTTATCATTATTTCATTATATCCTAATTTCATTCTTACTTTATTGTTTATTAGTTGTTTTTATTAGTTCTTTTATTTTTATATTTTAATTTCTTCTTTTTTATTCTTTATCATCATTCTATTTTTATTAATTGATGTTTATTATGAAAAACATTAAATAATAAGAAATAAAATAAAATGTTATTTATTTTTATTTTTAATAAATTATAATTATTAAATATTTCATTTTATTTTATATTTTATTCATTATTAGATGTCCTTTTATCAATGCAGAATATACAACAAATTTTGTTGCCATGCCTATTGAGTAATACCATAGAGTCTTGTAAAGAAAATCAAACAACAAACAGGTATTCAGGTTCAAAGAAAAGAAAGGACTTCAATAGCAATAAAATGCATAATAATTATGATAAAAGAAATAACAAGAGAAAAGTGAATAGAAAAAGAAGAATACAAATAAAAACAAATAAGAAACAAAGTAAATATAATGATAATAAACATTATACAAACAAGAAACCTAAATTATTAACAACAAAATAAAATTAAAATGAAAATTAAAAGAATAACAAGAAAATGGGAGAAAGGAGAATACAGAATTACTTAAAAAGTATGAAGGTAAAGAAATGTATAATATTCTCCAAGAAGTATATTCAATAAGAAAGAAGAAAACACTAGAGAAAAACAAAGAAGAAATCAAAGATAAAACAAAAGATTGGAAAAGTGAAGATATTAAAAGAATCGAAGAAGAAATCAAACACAAAAACCCAATCAAAGAAATGAATGATAGATGTAAAGCTGCAAGAATAATAAATGAAAAAGAAAATAAGGGAAAACACAAGACAAAGAAGAGAAAAAGGAAGAAGAAGGCAACAAAGAAGAAATTAACACACTTCAAAATAAAATCAAAGAAATAGAAGAAACTATTAAAGAATTTCAAACAAAAAAGAAGAACGAATCATTTCAAATGAAATGATTCAAAAAACATGAGACACAATTAGAAAAGAGTTTGAAGAAGAAATAGAAAAGATTCAAACACAAATAAACAATATTCAAACTACATGTAATGAAATAAGAAAACTCTAAATTAAAATAATAAAATATTTCATTACAATGAAAAATAAATGAAACAAATGGTAGAAGGATCATAGAAGTAGGAGGTAAGGACGAAACCACCCTCACGCTCCGAGCTAGCTATGAGAGGCTGAAGAAAAAGAAGGACGAAGTCCTTAAGGGTGCTGTGATGGAGAAGAGTGGTGAGCTGCTAGAGAAGAACATAAGAGATAAAGAAAATCAAATCTCTGTATATCAAAAAAGTGCGATTCAAAACTATGAGATTGCAGAAAAAACAAAAGAAGAATTAGACCATACACAAAGAGAAAATGAAGAACAAAAACAATTAATATCAAAGCAACAAGAAAGTATCGAAAATTTTTTATCCCAGAAGGAACTGGAGAAGAAGAAAACAATGACTCTAGTGATAAATACACAACAAATACTGAGAACATCATCATCTGGGACAATACAAATGAACAAAACTACCCCTATGAAAAAGACAATTCTGGAAATAGAAGAGAGCAAAACACTGAATATCAAAAAACAAGAAATGATAATCAGTCAAGAAGAGAAGAAAACACAACAAATCAAACAAATATAAATTTAATTGATGTGTTGTATTGATTTGCAATTAATTGGTTAAATAAGAAATTAAATAAGAAATTAAGATGGGAACAAATAGAAAATATAATAAAAGTAGTAAACATTAATGTAAATAATGAGAATGAATACATTAATAATATTAAAAAGTCACATAGAATAAAAGAAACAACTAAAAGATATATTAAAATGAAAGTGAACTCCATCATAGAAGGGAAAGTAGAGTGTAACCCAATAATAAAAAATATTATCATAAAAAATAACTCTATTGATATTGATGATGAATACCTTAACTCTATCATCAATCAAGTTAAAGGAATGAAAATAGATAAATGTGTAAATATTAATTACTACTGGAAAAGGAAAGAATCAGATAAATTAATTAGAGAAATTAATAATAAAAGGGTATGGTCAGGAGAATAGAAAATCTACAAGAAGATATGAAAATGATTTCAATGTGTATGCATTATTATCTCCAAAATAAATTTAAATGAGATAAATTTGATGAAGTAAAAGAAATCCTAAGGAAAATAAATAGATTAGAAGATCTAATCAAGGAAATGGTACAGAATAAAATTCATCATGAGATTGAAGGAACAAGATGCAGATGAAATTAAAATTAAATCACAAGAAAGAATAAAGTACATAAAATATATGATGATAATGATTAAAGAAAGAATTAAATTTAATAAAAATGAAATTGTCAGAATCAATACAAATAAAATTATATTTGATTCTAATAACAAAATTAAAATAAAGAAGAAACACAAAATGAAATATACCCAAATAACGATATTACTTTAGAATATTGGAAATCGTTATATGAAACACAGGTGATATTAAATAAAGAACATTGGAAAATAAAACAAATCACCTCGTGGAATGAAAGATACAGAAATTATGATAGTGTCATCATCACATTGGATGATTTAAATTTAAGAATGATGAAAATAAGTAATTGGAAAGCACCATGCATTGACATTATATATTTGTATTATTGGAAGAGAATGTCATCATCAAGAGATTCCATTCTTAAGATCTTCAATGAATGGTTAAACTTCAATGAAAACATCCCTCTAGACATGGTAAGTGGAAGAACTATATTAATCCACAAAGGAGGTGATAGGAACGATGTCATTAATTATCGTCCTATCAGTTGTACAAATGTAATAATGAAAGTATTTACCTCCATATTGAAAGATAAGACTCACAATAGAATTAACATGAATAGTGAATCATTAAAAATTAGTAAAAATCAATTATGATGTAAATTATAATCTCTTGCTGCTAAAGAAGGATTAATTAATAGTTATATGTTAAAACAACAAAAAGAAGAGAAATACACAAAATATGTAGAGTCATATTATGACATTAAGAAAGCATATGACTCAGTAAATCATGAATGGGTAATAGAATCACTTAAATATTTTAATGTAGAGGGTATCATCATAGATATTGTAGAAAGTATGATGAACAGATGGAAGATATTCATAGGATATAAATACAACGAATATCTAGGATGTATTAAATTGATGAATTTTACAATGTGATTCATTATCATTTCTACTCTTCTTCATCAAAATGAATATAATTTCTCAAATCATAGAAGAGAAGTTCCCAAAATCAAACCATACATTGTATATGGATGATTTGAGAATAATGACACAAAGTAATGAAGAAATGGGAACAATCCATAATGAAATTAAAGAAATAATAAGTGGAATAGGGATAGAAATGAAAAGAAATCATGAATTGGATTAAAGAACATTAATAAAATACCAGATTTAATGTAAAACATCCCATTAATTGAAGGAGAGGACTTGTATAAATATTTAGGAATATGGCAGTCCGATGAAATTAATGATATATTCAATTGTAAAATCATCAAATAAAAGATGATGAAGAAAATGGAAGAAATAAATAGTGATGAAAGTAGTAATAGAAGATACATTACAAGAATTAATACTGAAGTAATACCCATCTTCAGATATTCAGCATCAGTAGTAAATTGGAAGGTAACTGACCTAGATAGAATGGATTTGGAGATAAGAAAATATTTAAGAAAGGCAAAATACATTGTTGTAACTCCAAAGACCGTCTATATGTCAATATAAATGAAATGGGTGAAGGATTAATAAGCCTAAGGGACGAATATGTTAATGAAATAATTAGAACAGTAATGTATTATTGTACAAGAGTGAAATAAGAAATAACATATTAGATAGATGGTATTCCAAGAAATGAATATTGAATAGAATTAAAAAAGCACTAAGTCATAAAATCGGAGATACTCAAATAGAAGAAATAATAAATGAAATGAAAATAAAAAAGAAGTAGTATTAAAAATAAATAAATTAATGACCAACAAATACATCAAAAAATAGAAATCAAACAAGTGGACATTTTAGAAGATGGTTCGAGTCAAAATTTGTAGATAAAACTACTACATTAAATGCATGGAAGTCAATCAATATTAAGAAAAATGCATTTCTCCAATTAACTAAAATACAAGATGGAGTAATATTCAATATATACAGGAAAGATAAAATATTAAAAAATGAAAGATTGAAGTACTGCCCACTTTGTAAAGACAAGATAGCCACAGTAGAACACATTCTACTATCTTGTATTTGTCATAAAAAATCACAAATTGAGAAACATGACAATATTGGTATCATCATATTAGATAATAAGAAAATATAAATGAAATAAACAATACAAGAAACCCCCATATGAAACAGTGTTCCAATACAATGACATCACTATGATATGGAACAAACAAATAATATTAAAAAGTGATGGACTATATCATAAAAGACCAGATATATATCTACTAGATAAAAATAATAAAACATGTCTAATAATTGATATGACTATTGTTGCAGATCATAATATTAATGGAGCCTATTGGAAGAAAAGAAATATGTATAAAGAATTGAAAAATATGATAATTAAAATAGAGAAATTAAAAGATGTCAAAATAATTGGAGTAATAATTTCAATTAATGGGATAGTAAATGCGGAAAGTATTAAATTAATTAAAGAATTAAAAATCGAAAATGACATCACTAAAGAAATCAAAAACCTTGTAATTAAAAACATGATGGATGTCATGGAACACTGATTCTACCACAATCAAACACACTCAATAGAGTTGATAGATGAAGACTCATTGACGGGATTAGTCTCCGGTGAAGCAGGAATAATAGGAATTTAGTTCTATTAATACTTAATTAACTACTTTTTATTTTAATTTTATTTTTAGTGAGTTTAAACTTAAAAACATTAATTAATGGAAAAACAATGGGAAAAGTATCAAATTTTACATTCTAAAGATGTAGTACTTGAAGACTCACATGAATGGACTTTAGACACACTACGACGTGTTGGGGTTTGTTTATTTTTTGTTTATGACTAGATGGTTATTAGTTAGTATGATAAAATTATTAATGATAAGGGATTAGATATATCATTTTCAACAAATCACCCAAACCTTGCAATTGGTTGTTTAGTTATTTGTGAATATCCTTCTGGAAAAGAGTTATTAACATTAACGTGTCGTAAAATAGTTACGGTCCCTTATATTTCAGGATTTCTTGGGTTTAGAGAAGTAGAAGTTTATCATGAACTACTAAACAGTTGTAAAGAAAAGTATCCTGAGTTATATCCAGAAGTTGTTCTTGTTGATGGGAATGGATATTATCATCCTCGAAGATTTGGTTCTGCAACTCATGTTGGAATTTGTTGTGATATACCGTCAATTGGTGTTGCAAAGGTTTGTATTTTTTGAGTTTTATTCACCAAATAACTCTAACAATGTAGACTGTATTATGTGTTGATGGGATAGGAAAGAAAGAGATTAACATAGTTACTTCACAAATCAAAGCAGGTGAATCAACGATAATTAGTACTTCAAGTGGAGAAGTGTTGTGTGGGGTTATAAGAAGTAGAGGTGGTAGTATAAATCCAATTGTTGTTAGTTGTGGGCATAAGGTTTCACTTTCAACAGCAGTAATTATATGTAAAGAATGTTGTTTACATAAAATCCCAGAGCCTATTCGACTAGCTGATTTAATTTCAAGAAATTTGTTAAGGAATGAAGGACTTCTCCCACACATGAATTCTAAATAAACAAAAAAAGAAGATTAGTGTTAAACAGAAATGAAAAGCCAAAAATCTAATTCTTTTCAAAAAGGTGTTAACAAATTAATCTTAAATCAATCATTTATTATGATTAAAAAAAGATACAAGTTGAAGAGATTTATCTCTCAAATATTGTATTATATTTTAGTAGGATAAGAATAGCTGAATTGTTTACATTAATAAATAAAAAATGTAAAGACTCACTTCAATTATTACATATCAATCCATCATATTCTGTTGAGAAAGCTAATGAATATTTTCATATTAAAGAATGTAATTTTCAACTCCAAAAATCATTTGTAAAAGAAATGAAATTATTTCCTCATCTAGAAACAATCTAGTTTACAGAACAAACAATTCAATTTCTTCCTTTAATTCAATCACAAATTAAATTAATTCGACTTCCTGTTATTAGTCCAGAATCTACAATATTAAAAAATAATTATTTGAAAGAAAGAATTGCTTCATTGTCATTAAAAAATCCTAAATTCTCTTTTGATCTTTCAGAATTTACTTCTTTAACAAGTCTATCACTTATTATTAAAAATCACTTAAGTGTTAATGATTTTATTAGAAATAGATATCATCGTTTTGAAAAAGGTTATGTTTTAATGGAAGGATTTGTTGATACAAATTTTATTAATCACATTGATCGATTTAATATTAAGAAAGTAGTTGTTGAGTTTGATAAACAAGAAATATTAGGATCAGTCATCAAAAATAAAGAACTTCTCAAAAGAATTACATTTTGTTACAAAGAATGTTATAGTAAATGTCTAATAGTGTTATTATTCATAATAAACAATTAATTAATGAGTTTGAAATAACAGAAAAAGGATTTAACAATGAAATATTAATTCAATATTATCCTGAGCATATTAAAATAAATGGATTTAGTAAAAAGAAGATTAAAATGGATTTTAGTTCATATACATTCATAAAATCAATCAAATCAATAAATTCTTCAATTTATTTTAATCCATCAATAAGTCTAACACATCTAGAATCAAAATATTTCTATAAAATATCTTCTCTTAATGAATTATATCTTCAAGGAAAAAATATTCAAGATATATCTTTTCCTAATAATTTAACAACATAACAATCACTGATTTTATTCAAATTTCTAATTATTCTCAATTAGTTCACTTTCTTTATGTTCAAATAAACTATTTCCAATTTCATTATGTCCAATGTTAACATATTTGTCTTTGTCATGTAACACATGTAATAGTCTTTGTTCATTAACAAATTTAAAAGTATTACACATAAACAAAACTCTTAAAAATGTTAGTATTGAATCATTTTATCCTAATTCATTAAAATTTTTACAATATCATTCTAATTCTCTTCCAAAGAAATTACCAATTACACAACTAGTATTAAATCTTTCTTTAAAAGAACATAATATATATCATTATTCATGTCTTTGTAGTTTAAAAATATTAGGATTATTTCATATCTAATATTACTTCCTACTTCTTTGACTTCATTAACTGTATCATGTTTTGGTTTGTCACAAAATCATATATCATTTAAGGATTTAAATTATATTAATGTTAAGGAACTTCACATTGAAAATTGTATTACTCAGAATGTAGAATTACCATCTTGACTCACTTTATCTTCATTATCAGTATTTGAAATAATTAATCCAATTATAGTTTATACTCTGGTGCTTAATGAAAGTAAAATTAATAGTGAAATGATTCAAAAAGATTTTATAAAGAATTTCTATTCCAAAAGATCAAAAGAAAGTGAATTTATTAACACTGAATGGTATTATCACTTCCTCAATTAAAATCTTGTTATTATCAGAAATAAATAATTTGTTATTTTTAATTTAGTTTTAAATCTAATAAAAACAATTTTATTAATGAATGAACTTTCAATATTCTTTTATGGAGATTCAAATCTTTATGGGATTGAAGCTGTGACTTATAAACGTTATTCTTCCAAAGACAGATTTTCTAATATTGTAATTGAACAATTAAAAAAAGAATTTACAAAAGTCAATTGTATTGTTGATGGAAAACCTGCTCGTTCATTAAAATATGAAAACATACCATTTGGTATTACTAATGGGTTAAAAGAATATGATCAATTCTTATTAAAGATTACCTCCAATCCATTTTCAACAAACAAAGTATTAATTATTTCATTATGTATTAATGATATTCTTTCAAAAGCAACTTCACAACAAGTTATTGATGTATTACAACAATATATCGAAAAAGTTCAAAAACAAACAAAAATAATTGTTTTAATTCCACCACCACTTCAATATTGTACATTTGAAAGTTGGAAATCTACAGTAAATCCAGTGATTGAAGAATCATTGAAATTTGTTCATCAATTAAAAAGTGTTGTTGAATTATGGAAAAAGCAAGAAATAATAGATGGGTTTGTTGATTTAGATGGGATGAGTGTTGGAGAAGATGGTGTTCATTTCACATCAGAAGCACATCACCAAATTGCAGAAAAGTTACTTTCAGTTCTTCATGAAGTTTTAATTTGAATTATTTTCGCAGATTTATTAAGTTAAAAAGTAATAAAGATAAAGTATAAAAGAACTTGGATTGATTAAAGAGAATTAACATTTCTTATGACAATAAAATCTATAGTTATTTATGCTGATGAAGGAACTATTAATGTTTGTGTTTATTATTCAATGAAAATGCTTCATTCTCAATACCAAGAAGCTAGAATAAGAAAAATATATGCTAATGAATTAATTGAAGGTAAATGGATTTCTGAAACTGATTTATTTGTTATGCCAGGTGGTGCTGATCGTCCATTTCACAAAAAACTTAATGGGATAGGAGTCAAAATATTGAAAGAATTTATTAATAATGGTGGAAAGTATCTTGGAATTTGTGCAGGGGCATATTTTGCATCATCATTTATTGAATTTAATAAAGACATTCCAAATGAATTAAGTCTATGTGAAGAAAGAACATTAAAACTTTTCAATGGTATTGCACATGGACCAATATACCAAGGATTTGAAGAATATTCTGAACAAGGAGCTGTCATAATTCCTATTTATTATCAAAATAATCAAAAAGTAGAACTTTATTATAATGGAGGATGTTCATTTGTTGACAATTTAAATCAATACAAAGAGAATCATTTTCTTGCAAAATATCAAAATGGAATGAATGCTTTGTTCTTTGACACTATTGGTAAAGGAAAAGTTATTCTTTCTGGTCCTCATTTTGAGTTAGACATAGAATGGTGTGGTAAAATGCTTAAAGAACATCAGAAAAGTGAATTTGAAATGAGAAGAAAAGTCTTTTTGAAACATATTTTTTCATATTTTTAATCACATTGTTATTAATAATCTTTATTTTTATTTATTTCATTTTGATGATTAACACTATCAGAGTGTATAATGACATTGGAACATCCGTTCTTTGTGTTCATAACACAATTCAATTGTTTCATCATTTTTTCCCTTGTGCTAATGTTTTTAAAATTTCTTCTTCAGAAATTAAGACGAACAAATGGATTGAAAGTACTGATTTGTTAGTCATACCAGGAGGTGAGGATTTACCTTATCTTGATAAACTTCAGATTGATGGAATTGAACTGATTAAGTCGTTTGTTTTCAATGGGGGAAAGTTCTTAGGGATATGTGCTGGAGCATACTTTTCATCATCATACGTTAAGTTCTTTTTAACTTCTCAGTTAGTTATTGAAGGAGAACGTTACTTAAAATTTTATGAGGGAAATGCAATTGGTCCAGTGTATGATGGATATCAACCAAATAGTGAGTCAGGTGCACATATAGTAAAGATAATGTACAAGAATACCTATGCATATGTTTATTATAATGGAGGTTGTTATTTTGATGATAATAATAATAAAGTAGAGGGTACTCATTTTGCATTGTATGAAGATGGTAAAAAATGTGGTTATACTAGAAGGTATGGAAAAGGAAAAATTCTCATCACAGGATTTCATTTTGAGTTTGATGAACAATGTTGTTCTCATTTATTAAGTAAATTAAGTTATGATGATTTTGAATCAAGAAGAGAAAACCTTGTTAGATATATTTTTTCATTATTGAGTGATTGTTAAAAAAAAGGTTATTGTTCTTTTTGAGCAGAAGAATATACAAAAAGCTGAATAAAAGAACTAAAGTCAAACTAAGATAAACAAAGAACACATAATTAAAAAATATAATTAGAATAAAGAGTAAAATCAAAAAGAAACTTAATAAAAAACAGAATACGAGTTAATAAAACAAGAAAGATGAAATAAATCAAAGAAGAGTAATGAATGGATTTAAAGAAGAAACAAATAGATATTATGAAGTACAAATAATCATTATAAATATAAAAGTATTTTATTTGTTTAACAATAAAGTATTGTTTTTTTATTGTTCATTTCATCTTTTAACAAATTTGTTTTTATTTTTGTTATTATAAAAATAATTAAAAATAGAATAATTGTTATTTCATTTTTATATCATACCAATTCTTTATAAATAAAGTATTAGAATACTAAGTAGATAGTATATTGAGTGTATTAATTCAAATTCAGAGCGATGTTTGAGTATTTTTATTTTGTCATTTTGAAGATAAACATAATATTCCTTCAATGAATGAAAACTCTTAAATTAATCAGAATTATATGGTTTAAGAATATCATAAGAATAATAATAACAAATATTATTCATATGACTTATGAATAGATAAAATAAATATAGAAGAACGAATATAAAGACAAGAGAAATATAAAAGAATATAGAAAATGGAGAATATGATATAATGGACATAAAAGAAATAATGATGAAGATAAAATGATAGAAAATTCATAGTTGAAATGAAATTACAAAGAAATAACAAAATTCACAACGATTATACTTAAATAATAAATAATTATGAAATAATTTAATGTCAATAAGATATATTCATTTAATTCAATATTTTAACTACAATATATAAAATATAAGAAGAAGAAATAATAAAAGAATAGAAAATGACAAAATGAAATACAGAATAAAATAATAATTTATTGTAATATTTGAAAAAAAGAAATAAAGAATAAAATAAAAAAAGATGATAAATAAATTAACAGAAGAAATGATAGAAAATGATATAATATAAGAATAAAGAAGAATAACAATCACAAATAATGAAATTCAATAAATATAGAAAATGAATAAAATAAAGAATATAAAACAAAATGTAAAGTTGTAATAAATATTAGAAATGTCATTATTTCATGAATAACAAATAGAAAATGAATAAAAGAAGAAAACATAGAGATATATTCAAATATAATGTAATATTTAATTCAATTGATACAGATTTAAAAACAAATAAATAGAACTGAAATAAATGAAAGAATTAATAAATACTTCACAATCAAACAAACATGAATTGAATAATGAATTAAATTAATTGAGTATATTATATTTAGTTTATTAAATAAACATTCATATGAATGAATTTAGATGAATGAAAATGTTTAATTCAATAATTTTATTTATTTTTAACACCAGTTAAATGTTGGTTTATAGTATTTCATTTGAATGTATTATTTAACCATTTGATAAATAAAAACAAGAGTGAATAGTGAAAATATTACACAATTTAAATTAACAATGATTTGAAGAATAAGTGAATGTAAAAGTTGAATGATAATTTTATTTTGAAGAAGAATATAATTAATATATTTGATAGTCCAAAATAATCAACACAAGAAACAATATGATATAAATGAAAAGATGATGAAAATAGAAGTTAAAATGATTTTATTTTTAATTGAATTTAATTGAATAATGTAAATGAAGAAATAAACAAAGAATAAATTCAAATAGAAATAAATACAATGTAATTAAAATAACAATAAATGTATGAGAATTCTCATTTCATTAAAAATTATTTAGAAGAAGAAAGAATGGTTTTATGTTATTAACAATTATAGATATTATTGAATGTCATTTGTTTTTGTAAAGTAATTTTCATTTCATACTTTACGTAATGAATGAAATAATACAACATTTACATTTTATTTTCTTATTCTCTCATTGTAAAATAACAAATATCATTTTGTATATATTTATAATGTATTTGAAAATCAAATAAAAGATAAAACATGAAATGAGCAAAGAATAAAACATTCAAATTTAATTATATTTATTTATATATGTGATTTAAAGTTTATTAAGTAATTTTAACATTAAAAAAGAATATTTAAAATGAGTGATAAATCAAATTTAAACATAAAGAAGTTAATTAATTCTTATGTTGTTAATATTCATTTTCATATGGGATGTGATTAAAATGATAATACAATAATAAAGATAGTATTAATTGTATAAAGATAAAAGATTAAAATGAGTTATGTCAATAAATTTTAATGTAGAAAGAATTTCTGGTATATCCAATAAATTGTTAAAGTTATATCTGATATACTTCAATTATAATAATTTTGAAATGTGTGTATTGTATGAATAAAATAGTATAACTATAACTCAATGAATTGTTTGAAAAAGAAGAAAGTTGAAAAAGATAAAAACCAAAAAGAGTTGAATAAATTTATTAAATAAACGAAAACACTGATGTTCATTGTATTTTATAGTTTCACAATAAAACGAGTGATAATACAAGAAGAGAAAAAAGAGAAAAAAAAATAATAGAAAGTGAATATGATTAGAATCAAATTGTGATTTTAATGAGACATTGATGAGTGTTTTAGGATAAACATTCTTGTTATAGTTACTCTTTATTGTATCTTTACTCTTTTGAGAAATGTATTTCTTTTTATATTCAATAATCTCTATTTTGTTATTGTTAATTTCTTATTGTTGAATGTTCCATGTACATTTGTGATATATTTTCAACTCTTCTTTCGTTTAAACATCGTCTAATTCATTTATTTAATATTAATCAATTTCAATATTCAATTATATAATTATTTTCTTTTATTTTTTGTTTATTTTATTTCTGTTGTTTTTATTGAAATATTTATGAAGATGAAAATGAGTGAAATTATTTATATAATTGTTATGATACTTGTTGTTAACATTATAATGTTTAGTGTGATAATTACTGTATCTCTGTTAATACAAATCCTACATATTTCACACATCTATCATTTATATTTATTTCTTGATATGGATTTCTCTTTTTATTATGTTTAGTATTTTGGTGATATTTCTGATTTTCATTTTTTAGCGAAAAAAAATAAAAAATTAGTTGAAAAGAATTGAAATAAAAATGACAATATTATTATATATCACAACCATTACCCACCTTCAATGTTATTATAATTTCAGATCAATTACACTTGAAATGATGAAACAAAGAAAGAGGATTAACAATAAAATTAAAAGAATAAACAATAGAGAAAAAGGAATAAAGAAGGAAATAATTCAATTCAACAAAATGGATAAAAAGTATTTTACATAAAATGATGACAAATTTCAAATTAAATTTACATTAAAATTTAAAAAAATAAAAAGAAGAATGAAAGATAACAAATAGAAATATAATGAATAAACAAATAAAAGAGAAATAAAATTCAACACAAGAAATGAATATAGAAAAGAAAATAAGAAGAATAATGAAATAACAATATAATCAATGAAATAAAGAGTGTTGAATAAATAATAAATGAAGAAATAAATGAGAATAATCAACATCAAATAAAAAAATAAATAGGGGGTAATAAATAAAAAAGAAAAAGAAAGAAATAATTTATGAGATGAAAATATATAAATAACAATAAAACAATATTTTTAATATAATACGATAAAAATAACGACATAATCAAGTTAAAAATTGAAAGCGAAAGAAAATACTGTTTTTATGATTATGTAATGATAAAATAAAAATAAAAGAATAATAAATATCACTGGTATAATTTAGAAAGAATAATAATTCTTCATTCAACATTATTCAAAGAAGACGAAATAACTATAAAATAACAAAATATTTTTAGGGTAAAAGACATAGAAAAATATGGAAAGAAAATACCAGAAAAAATTATGGAATAGCTGATGAATGTTTTTTTCAAGATGTAATGATTTTCTTCAAATCAATATAGCAACAAATATTAAAGTGATATGAAATAATTGTTTTTCTGGATGTACATCATTAACAACAATTACTATACCAACAAGTGTTAGTGAAATAAGATATGAATGTTTTAGAGGATGTCCGAATGAATTGAAAAAGAATTAGATATTAAGAAAGATATACTAATAAGAATATAAAGAAATAATAGAATAAATCTACAAAATAGATATGAAGAAAATAAAAAGAATAACAATAATAGAAACATATAAATAATATAATAATAAAGATAAATAAAAAAATATAAATGAATTAAATTTTATTTTATTATTCTTTTATCATGTTATTGAATTATTATTTACATTATTCATTTGTTTTAAATATTTAATTTTATCATTTTATTGTTATTTATATATTATCATTTGAAATATTGTATAAATGAAACGTTAAATAATGGTATAAATTAAAATAATTATATTTCAATTGAATTTATCTTCATTTAAGTTTATTGTGTTATTTTATATTTTCATTTGTTGTTAATAAATAAATGTGATTATATTAATCAAATGATTGATTTATTTCTATATTCTTTTCTTCATTATTTCAATTATTTATTAATGATTTATTTATCATTTCAAAATGAAATTATAAAAAGAATAAAATAATTAAAATAATTCACAATAAAATGAAATATTAAGTATTAACAATTTCATCATTGTTTTATATTTCGTGTATTTATTCATTTGATTATTATTTTATTATTGCCATTTATTTCATCTTCATTTCTTTCATTGTTGTTTGTTATTTTCATATTGATAAATTCAAATCATAATATAATGATAATATTTTCAAATAAATAAAATAAATATAAAATATCGTTCAAATTATAAATAATTAACAATAACATCGAATGAACATAAAATAAGAATAAATATAAAAGAAAGACAAATAAGAATATAAATAAAAATAAAGAAATAATAAGATAAATAAAAGAATGAAAATATAAAGAATAAATAAATTAAAAAGGGGGTAAAATAATACAATCAAAAACAAAGAAAAGGAAATAAGAACAAAACATGAAAAAAAGAATAAAAAAGAAATTAAAAAAGTTATGAATAAATTATAAAATAATGTAAATGAAAGGATAAGTGAATATTTAAACATAAAACTAGAACGATATAATCATTAAATATGAAATTGTGTTACTTCTATTTATTATATTTTCTTTATCAAAACAATGTAATGAATATACTGAATCATATGATATAGATACAGTTGATAGTGCATTTGATTCTATTGAATCATTTTCAACCATAGAGAAAGAAAATGAAGATATTATTAATTGATTGAAATATTATTTAAATGCATATATTTAAAGACTATTAAAAAATCCACCACAACAACCATTTTCAAATAATCATTATGAGAAAGTAGATATTGTTTCTAATTTAGATAAAATAAATACAAAAACATCAAATATCTATGAATTTTATTCACAAATAAAAAATCTTATTATTTTAACAAAAGATTTACATTTACAATTTAATGTAGATAATATTCTTAAAAAACCAAATTCAGAACTTTTTTATTTTATTTATTTCCTTCCATTTACAATAAATATAGATAATGATAAGAAAATGTATTTAAATCAACAAAATATATTTTCTCTTTCTAATATTCGTGGTGTGGTTGATGTACTAAAAGAAATTATAAATAATCAGAATGTACCAGTTAAAAGAATAAACGGAGAAAAGATCCATTTAATATTAATCGAGAATTTAAAAAGAAATATTTAGGACTAAAATGTCCACATGCACAATTTACATTGGTAAAATCAAAAATAATACTTGGATCATTGAATGAATTACCATTAACAAATGAATATTTAAATACACTAATAACAATAAATGGGAAAATAGAGAAATTCCAAGAAGTACTTGAAAGAAGATGAATAAGAGATTGAATAAGAATAGAATATTTTGAAGAAGTAAATGAAAGAAAAAGAATAAAACAATAAAAAGATGAATATGAACCCAATTGTTTTATTAATAAAGAAATAGTTTAACAACAAGTAACAAAGTAAATATATTAATTGTAAAAACTTTTGATTCTATTTCTGATTGGTACTATTTTTTTGAAAAAAATTAAATGAATGTGTTGACAAGTTTGATTAAATGATTATCCGATTCAAGTAATATTCACACAAAATGGAGGAGGTTTGATGCAACTTGCCAAATAATTGAGAAAGTATTATCACTATTTGATGTTGATTTCATCAATTCAGCAAGAATATCAGAATTTACAGAAGATATAATGAAAAAAGGACTTAATTTAAATATGAATAACCCAGAAACATGTGAAAGAAGAAGAAGTTTATTAGAATTATATTTTCTGATTTATTTCCAATTGAAGAATGGTATACAAACCATAGAATTATTAGATATGGAGGTGTTGAACATAATGTTACACAACCATCAATCATGAGATTGGAATAACAGATACAAATGAAAAATCCAAGAAAACCAACAAATGTTCATGGATGACAAAATGATTAAAAGAATGTGGAGGAGTTATTCTTGTATGATTTGATGTGGTCCATATGGAAAAGATGAAGAATTTGAATTAGAATTATTACCATCTAATGATATTCCTAATATTACTGAAATAGATTTAAATAATAAATTAAAAGAATACGGATATGAATTGGGATTATACAGATTTAATTATGAATATGATGAAACAATACCAAGAGAATTTTCAAGATATGATAGATGAAAGAGTGAATATTTAATAATTCTCATACAATATAGAAGAAAATGAAGAAGAAAGAAAATAAAACAAAATGGAATCAAAATAATAAAAGAATAGTTAAAAGAGATGAAAGATGTGATAAAGAAATTAATATAAAACATGGAAGATATGAATGTAGAGATAAAGGAGTACAAAATGCATTATGGCATGTTGTGATTCAGGATATAAAATTGATTATATCAACAACAGATTAATAATTTGAATAATAATGATAATTCTTTAATTGAAGAAGGATTATTTAAAATAACAATTTAGTTTAATAAAATAAAAGAAATAGAAGAAGAAAAGAATAGAAATACATTTTATAGACTTAAAATGATATTAAATAGTTTTTGAACAAACACAATAATCTTATGTTATTTTAATAAATAAAATAAAGAATATATGAATATTAATTTATTATAATCATTTTAATAAAATAAAAATGAATAATGTAGAATATTTCAGTGATGATAATGTAAATTTAGTAAGTATTGATATTTTAATTTATGACTAATGTTCACATTATACAACTGAATAATTAATAAAAATATTATAACTATTTATTCGTTGTTGTTTTTTTATTTCTTTTTATTTTCATTATCATTTATTTGAAAACACTAAAATATGAATAAAACCATTAAATTAATTCAATTTATCATTGTAACATTCTTCAATTTCTTCTTTTCTTATTATTTGAATAATAACTTCTTCATTCATTCTTCATTATAATTTTATACTTTCTCTATTTCATATATTTTATGATTAGTTTTATATTCAGAATTAATTCCTAGATCAACAACATAATTGTTATCTTCTGTAACAATAATTCATAAACATTCATTAATATCATTTTCATCAAATAACTATTCATTTTTCAATACTTTTTTAAGTTTAAGTAAATTGATAAAATTATTTGATACTTCATTAATTTTTATCAATGCGCTCAGTTATTGTTTAATTAATTCAATTTTATCTGTTAAATTTTGAGTATCAACAAATTATTAAAAGAAGAATGGAGTTTGTCTAATTTATCAGAATAAGATTAATATATTTTAATGCTTTTCCAAGTTGTATATTATCTAATGAAAGTGGTTTTGATGAATACTTTGTTTCTTTATAACACTTATTTTGTGAATATCATAACATCTTCGTTGTAAGTTGTTTGATTGTTGATATTGTGTTTTTAAATAATCTATCACACTTATTTTAAATAGCAACAAAAAAATGAAATAATAGAAAAAAGGAAGAGAAAGATATAAAAGAATAAAAAGAAAGATGAAGAAGAATAAAGAATAAAAATAGAAAGTAGAAAAGATAAAAAGAAGATAAAAAGTAATAAAACAAAAGAGATGATAAAAGAAGAAAATAAAGAAGAAAATAAAGAAGAAAATAAAATGTGTATTTTTATTGAAAAATGAGAAATATGAAATAAAAGTGTATAATTTAATGATGTGAAATAATTGGTATTGTTTTATTGTTGAAAAATATTTTATTCTTTTTTATGTTTATTATTTATGTGAATAATTTCATTATGATGTTTATTATATATTCAATCATATATGTTATATGATTATTATATAATATTTAATATCTGATAAAATATAAATAATAAATGATATGAATATATGATATAGATAGAAAAACAAACAAATGAATAAAAGAATAGAAATAAAAAGATATAGAAATGAAATCAAAATATAAAAGATAAAATTAATATAAATAAAAACAGAATGAATATAAATCGAAAGTAGATATAAATGATAATAATATAAAAGATGATAAATATGGATATTCAAATAATAAAATACATCAAAATAGAAAATGAATATAAAGAAGAAAGTATAAAGAATATAAATCGAAAAATCATAAAATAAGAAGAATATATTAATATATAGATAAAAGGAAATGATAATAATGATTACAATTATCATTTACCTATTCTTCCTACTTATTATTCTGATTATTCTACTAAAATGAAAGTATCTTCTAATTATTATAATAATCGTATACATTATTTGATATCATCATATGAAAGAACTATTAATCCTTTATCATCATTTAACTATTTCATTCAAACATGTAAAGGAATTGTTCGTTATTATAGTTATAATGATATTGAAATAAATGATATAACATCAACATGTTCTAAAACATATACACTAATTAATGAAGATGATTTTAATTCATTTGTTGTAACTGTTACTGTGTCTTTATCCTCTGTTTATGTTTATTCATTATCAATAAACATTTATATCATTATTATTAACTATGTAACAATTGATCATACTATCTTTACTTATCCAAAACAGTGGATAAGATATGAATCAACAAATCAAATAACTTTCAATATCATCTGAAAGAAACAACAATATCAAAGAATTCAATGAAAACTATCAATTGGAACATCAGATTCAAGAACAACATCAATTAAAGAAGAAACTACTAACACACTTTTATCTGTAATAATAACTACATCAAAACATTTATCTAGTATAAATAAACCATCATTCACAGGAAGTAAAATATATCAAAGTCAAATAACAATCAAAGGAAGAAAAGAAATAACATTTGATGATATTAGATAAGGTAAATGTGACAAGTTAGTTTATAAAGAAGATTCAACACAATGCAATTATTATAAAGAAGAATATAAGTTAACATCAAATAATCAATGTATCAAACATTCCCAGCTAACTGCAATTTAGAAATGGAAACATTTGTACTAAATGTGATAGTTCTAAACAGTATTATTTAAATTCAAATAATAAACAATGTATTATGATGATAAATATACTTCTGCCAATAGTTATGGACTTTGTAAATCATGTAAAGAAGGATATTATATAGATAATATAGATAAATGGAATCAATTACTCGATGGATGTAAAAAAGGAAGTTCTTATTCATATTGTAATTCATTTATTAATAATTATTGTTTAAGAACAGATAAACTATGTTACACTAATTCAAATTGTGTTTCTAATTATAATAATGTATAATGTATATTATGTAAAGATTATGTATTTAATAGTCAAGAGAATCTATTTTATTCCAGAGAGATGAAATATGAGAATTTTATTATTAAAGATACCATAATGAAATCCAGTTTAACACACTAAAACATAACACTCAGAACTATTTGATAATAGTACAGAAATACATCTCAGGAAAGTAAAGATGTGAGAGAAACTTATGATAAATAGCAGTGATCAGAGGGATGAAAAATAACATAATTGAGTTAAAAAAAGAAGAATTTTATCTGATCATTAACAGAACAGATCGGCATCAATATAAGCAAGTGACGATATGATCCCGTCTTGTATGACGAGAACCACTCACCTCTTCCCATGGTGTTCTCCACACACTTCCATCAGCCATTACATATTCATCACACTCTTCCTCCCATTCTTGCCAATAAACAATCTTATGCTCTTTCATGTCCCACTTAGCCATCATAAACCATTTCCATGTGGTGTATGTCCTTTCAGTTGTACGACTTGATGAATTGCCTCGAGTAACAGTCCTGCGTGATGAAACCTTACCGTAACCCGGAACAACTAGTGAACCATTTGTCCTGATAGCTACGACACCGCTTGGAAGAGTTGACACAACAAGTGACATATGAAGTGAGATAACGATATTGTTAGGTGTCACTTTAAATAGGGGTCATTACGTTGAGTTTAAAACTTATAAACGTTGAACTGGTAATTTTTTTCTTCTTTTTCGACATGATTTCACATGAGAATAGACTAGATTCAAGTTTGTAACTCTTTGTTCTTGTTCGTTGTTTTTTACTATTCATTTTATAGTTTTATTACTATTCGTTTAAGTTCTATTCTTACGTGCACAAAAATAAACAAAGAAATAATGCATCTAAATAAATTATAAAAAAATTGAAAAAGATGAAAATATTTTGCATTATTAGAATATTCCACTTATTATATTTCACTCCTAAAAAAATAAAAAGGATGGTAAATACAGAACTGATTAATTATATTTAATTATTTGTATTCTTGTATTCTTTTATTATTATGTTATTTTTATATTTATTTCTCTGATTATATTATTTATATCATCTATTTATCTATATATTAATATATTCTTCTTATTTTATGATTTTTCGATTTATATTCTTTATACTTTCTTCTTTATATTCATTTTCTATTTTGATGTATTTTATTATTTGAATATTCATATTTATCATCTTTTATATTATTATCATTTATATCTACTTTCGATTTATATTCATTCTGTTTTTATTTATATTAAATTTATCTTTTATATTTTGATTTCATTTATCATTTATTATCTTTTTATTTCTATATCTTTTATTCATTTGTTTGTTTTTCTATCTATATCATATATTCATATCATTTATTATTTATATTTTATCAGATATTAAATATTATATAATAATCATATAACATATATGATTGAATAATTTTACATCATTAAATTATACACTTTTATTTCATATTTCTCATTTTTCAATAAAAATACACAATTTATTTTCTTCTTTTATCATCTCTTTTGTTTTATTACTTTTTATCTTCTTTTTATCTTTTCTACTTTCTATTTTTATTCTTTATTCTTCTTCTTTCTTTTTATTCTTTTATATCTTTCTCTTCCTTTTTTCTATTATTTACTTTTTTAGTTCCACTTTAGTTTAATAAAATTATTACATTTCTTAATTACATCTTTATTAAATAAAAAGTCATTTATCTTTCAATCATTTTTATTTGTTTATGAGTTTTTTTCAAAATACTATAATAATTTAATAAATTGGTCTTTTCATCACATTGAATTTTATACTTTTCTAATTTTTTTGTTTATTTCTTTTTAGTCTAAATATACCAATTAACACAGTCAAAGCGAATAAACATAAACTAAAATAAAGTGTAGTAAATAACCAAGTCATAACAATTAAATTTTATGTTGATACTAACACTCCTAATATTTTAACAATAGTAATGATAAGTTAATAAATTGTTTATGTATTATTGTCAATAAATCAATATAACCATCGACATTGTATCATGTATTTATCTTAGCATTATTTGATATATATTTGTTGGTATTTGTTAGTTGTATACTATTTTTAAATTAACTCAGTTTTGGTTCTTCTTGTTTATGACAAGTTATTATATATTATTTTTTCATAGAACTTATTATAAACCAGATTTTCATTATTAATCCATCAAATACAACACTATTATTTGAAGTATTGTTATTTTGGATTTATAACATAGTTTATACTATTAAATATTAACATACTAATTCCAACATTAAATAGTTTAATGCCTTAATATTAATTCACGAATAACACCATCTTCTTTTTGATAACAATAGTTAAAGTAAACACACTATATTTTACATGAAAATGAATTGTATGATATAAGAAATGAATGTCATGAATAAAAGAAGTATTTCAAATGGAAAGACTATATTTTCAATTGTAAAATTCAATTTATTCAAACACTCTTTTATTCCTTCATGAATTATCAACAAATATAAAACACTATTTTGTTGATAACAAATCATTCATAACAATTAAAAATATATCAGCTCAGATGAAATAACGAAGAAACACTGAATTACTTGAATTAAAAATGGTGCTATTAATTCAACACTAAAAGAATCATAAGTATTGATAATTAAATAATATTTCATTAAAATAATAATATTTGTTTTATGTAATTGAAATAATAATTATATACATACAAATACTACATAAATTCTAATCTATCTAACAACTTATATCATAACTAAGTATATTTTTGATATTGTTGTAGTATTTCTATTATTTTCATCATTTATTATATTCAAAATCATAACAACATTCATCTTTTGTTTAATGAAATTATTTTAATGAAAGTAAAAACACTATTACACTTTAACTTTGATTATTCACAATATATTTTATCATCACATTGCACTATTCCAGTATTTTATTTTGAGAATAACTTATTTTCTTAACAAAACCATCCTTTATCTTCATAATATAATTGAATTAATTCATATAAATAATCAAGTATTATTTGTTCTCTTTATAAAGAAATACAACTCAAATAAATTCTGTTTAATATTGTTCATTCTTACATACACATTATCAACAATGAAACAAACTAGTTACAAATGATTTCAACTCATTTATTCATTAGAATAATTATTTTTCATTGTTTTTGAATGAAAAAACACTAAAATGTTGTTTATTCAATACAATAGTTAAATCAATGACAAATACATATAGAAAATAAATGAATGTACATAACAAATTCAATTAGAATAATTCATGAAAAACTCAAATAACCATTTCATCTCATCAGAATTCAATGGACAATCATCTGTTTGAACATTAGGTGTTGAATAAAAGAGTTGTAATGAATGTAGTAATTTATTTGCTAAAACAACTCCTTCAGTTCCTTCAAATATTCGTTCATGTTTTCTTGTGATTTCCCAAACAAATTCTAAAGCAACAAACTCTTTCTGAAGATTATCTCCAACAATGAAAATATTAACAATGCATGGAATCATTTTTTTAATATTTTCTTCAGTAATTTGATCAAACACTTCTTCACTATCAATACTCATCAATACCTCTTCTAATTTAAGTAAATCATTGACACTAGTTGATATAATATAATTTAATCTAGATTTCTTTTGATTAGGAATATCTTCTATTTCAAGTCTTTTTGTTGGTGTTTTTGATATTTCTTTAGTTCTTTTAAGTAAATTATCTTGAAGATCAACCAATGATTGGACTGGATTTGTTCTTTGTGTGTTTTGAATATTTTTAACATTAGTAGTATGAGAGGATTTATTGATAATAGGACTAGAAATTCTCTTTTTGGATGAACTTTCATTAGGGATGATTTGTAATGAGTTATTGATTGATTTAGGAGTGAAAGTAGTGGTAAGAGATGGACGAGTATTAAGATTTTGTTGAATAGACTTCGTTTTTGTTTGTTTAAAGTCTCTAATGATTTGATACATCTCATTGATTTTGTCTAAGATACATTTAAGATTAATAGCATGTTGTTTATTCCATTGAACTTGTTCTTCTTGCATCTCAAAGATTTTTTCATTCTGAAACTTAATTCCATCAAGTAATTGGATGATTTCATGTGGTATTTCTTTTTGCATTAATATTCATTTTGATTTCAAGATTAAAAAATCTTCTTTTCAACTTTATTTATCGGAAAGTTCAAGAAAATGAAAGTTAATTTCATCTCACAAGAACTAAATTATTATTATGTTCATCTCACAACCTACAAGGTCAACTTGCATTGGAATTGACTTAGGAACAACAAATTCATGTATGTGTGTTTTTGATAAAACAACACCTCGAATTCTTGAGAATGCAGAAGGAAAACGAACAACACCATCTTGTGTTTCTTTTACACCAACAGGAATATTAGTTGGAGAAGCAGCAAAACGAATGGAAGCATTACACCCAACAACTACTATCAGTGGAATTAAGAGGATGATAGGATGTCAATACAAAAGTGATAAACAAGAAAGAAGACCTTATAAAATTGTTAAAGGAAGGAATGGAGAAGGATGGATTCATATTAATGGGAAGACATATTCTCCAACAGAAATTTCATCAATGATTCTTAAGAAATTAAAAAAAGATGCAGAGGCTAAACTAGGGAAAAGAGTAGATGAAGCAGTTATCACATGTCCAGCATATTTTAATGATGCACAAAGACAAGCTACTAAAGATGCAGGAACACTTGCAGGATTAAAAGTTAAAAGAATTATTAATGAACCAACAGCAGCAGCATTAGCATATGGAATAGATACAAGAAAAGAAAATGAAGGAAAGAATAATGCAGTTTATGATCTTGGAGGAGGAACATTTGATATTTGTATTCTTAATATTAATAAAGGGATTTTCCAAGTTAAAGCAACTAATGGAGATACAATGCTTGGAGGAGAAGATTTTGATAAAGCCATTTGTCAATACATTTCGAAAGAATTTGAAAGAAAATATAAACGAAATCTTCAAGGAAATAAAAAAGGAATTAGTAGAATAAAGAAGTAGCAGAGAAAGTAAAATGTGAATTATCATCAAGTGAAGAAAGTATAATTTCATTACCATATCTTGATGGACAAGATTCACTTGAAATTACAATTAATAGAAGAAAAATTGAAGAATTATGTAAAAAAATTAGTAAAAGAACAGAATATCCTTGTATTCAATGTATGAAAGATGCAAAATTAAGAAAAAAAGATATTAGTGATGTTGTACTTGTTGGAGGAATGACAAGGATGCCTTTAATTCAAAATACTGTTCAAGAAATTTTTGGAAAAAAACCATGTAAAAATATCAATCCTGATGAAGCTGTTGCCATTGGAGCAGCAATTCAAGCAAGTATTATTGAAGGAAAGAAAAATGACATTATTCTTGTTGATGTTACACCATTAACTTTAGGAATTGAAACATATGGTGGAGTGATGACACCATTAATCCATAGGAATACAACAATCCCTACATCAGTTTCAAAAGATTTCACTACATCAATGGATAATCAACAAGAAGTAGATATTAAAGTATTTCAAGGAGAACGTAGAGTTACATCAAAGAATAAAAAGTTAGGAGAATTTAAATTGGTTGGAATTCCTCCAGCAAAGAAAGGTATACCAAAAATCCAAGTTACATTTGATATTGATGTTAATGGAATAGTAAAAGTTTCTGCTCTTGATAAAGGAACAGGAAAGAAAACAGGAAATCAAGTTAAATCGAATGGTGGTTTGAATGAAGATGAAATTAATCGACTAGTTAAGGAAGGAGAAGAACATGCTACTGAAGATAATAGAAAAGAAAATTTAATTCTTCTAACCCAATGTTTAAAAGAAATTATTCATTAAGAACATCATATTCAATAAAAAGAGAAAGAAATAAAACAAATGAGGATATTTAGATGATACAGAAACATGTTAAGAAAGATATTTAAAACAAAATTTGTAATGTTTAATAACAATTTATACAATAAACAATAAAAATAATTAAAATGAAGAAAATAATGAATATATTAAGAATATACAAAAATAATATATTGTACAGATCAATTCATTTATATTGAATGAATCTTGTTTCTCATATAATTACATAATAATAAGAAATGAAGAATAAATAAAATAAAGAAAAGAATAAAATAAATAAAAAAGAAAGAAGAACATCATAAAGAAATATTTAATAAATAATTAATTCAATAATTATTTGATTAAAACATGAAATAAATAAAATAAAGAGTAATAAATTAATCAAATTATAAATATAAGAATAAACATAAAGAATAATACTATAAATTAAGAATAAAAAAAGAATCAAAATAAAATGTAGATATGTAGTATAGATTATTCATATAAATTTTAAAGATAAATATATAAAATAACAATAAATAAATAAATATAAGAAAGAAGAAAATAAATAAATCATAAATTAAGAATAAAAAATAAAAGAAATAAAAGAAAAATAAACATAAAATAAGAAAGATATAATCATTAAAATAATCAATTTATTACTTCTATTTATTATATTTTCATTATCAAAACAATGAAATGAATATAATGAATTAATTGAAATAAATAGAATAGATAAATGAAAAGAATATAAAGAATGAAATGAAATAATAGAAAAAGAAAATAAAGATAATATTAAAAGAATAAAATATTAAATAGAAACATATTTAATTAAATATATAATAAATAATCAACCACAATCAACAAATTGAAATAATTAATAAGAAAAGTCAATATTGAAACAGAAATAAATAAAATAAATACAAAAACAAGAAATATTTATAAATTGTATTCTCAAATACAAAATCATATTAATTTAACAAGAGAATCTCATTTAATTTTTACTAATAATAAATAAATTAATTAAACAAAAATCAAAATAACTAATTTTATTTATTTCATTTCATTTAGAATAAATATTGATAATAATAAGAAAATATAATTAATTAGTAGAAATGAAATTATTAGTACTCTTATTAATATTCCACAAGAAGTGGTTAATAATGAAAATATACCATTTAAAACAATAAATAAAGAATATCTATTTAATATTATTCATGAAAATAGAAATAACTTCATTTGATTGAAATATCCATATGAACAATTTACAAATGGTAAATGAAGAAATATAATTTGAAGATTTGATAGTTTACTATTAACAAAAGAATATTTAAATACACTAATAAGTATTATATTAGAAAATGAATAAAATCTAATAAATAAATATTGTATATTAAAGTTATCAACATCTAATAAATCATTTAAATAATTACTTCAAAGAGAAGAAGTTAAACAATGAAATCAACTAAAATTAATATCAGAAGAAATAAAATCAAGAAAAGAAAATGAGAAAAGAATGAAAATAAAACAAAGAATAAATAAAGCATATAAATCAGAAGATAATAAAATATATTGATTATTAACATATAATAAAATTAATACATTTATCATTTTATAAATTTATCATAAATAAACATATGTTAAATCATATGAAAATACTATTTCAAAATTTATTGATTTATTTGATTCTAATAAATAACTAATTCAACTCATATTCACAAATAATAGATGTTGATATTGTAATTAATCATAATAGATTGAGAAAAATATATCAACATAAGATGATGTTAACACAATATATTCATGAAGAATATCAAATTTTATAAAAATTATAATGAAAGAAAACTATAATACAAGTTTGTATGAACAAGAAACATGTGAAGTAAGAGAGAAAGAGAATAATACAAAAACACATAGAGAATGATATACAAAACAAATATTAATAAATATGAAGATGTTGAACATAAAGTTTCATAACCATCAATTATGAAATAAGAAACAAAAAATAATGAGAAAATCAAGAAAACCAACAGAAATAATAATTTATACATATTAATTTTGTTATTGTATTTGTTCATTTATAACAAAATGAATAAAAGAATAGAGAAGTGGTATTATTGTATGATATGATGGTGATTCATATGGTAAAGATGAAGAAATTGAAGTAAGTTTATCACCAACTGATATCATTGATTTAAATGATAAAGATGAAGATAATAAATTAAAAGAATAAAGATATAAAATTAGAATAAGTATTTTAGAAACATATAGATTTAATTATAAATATAATGAAAATAAACATAGAGAATTTATAAAAGATGTAATATATGAAAGAGTGAATATATATCAATATGTTATATGAGATGAAATAATAGAAGAAAATGAAGAAGAAACAAAAAAGATAATAAAGAAATATCAAATAAAATGGAATCAAAATAATAAAAGAATAAATAAAATAGATAATAAATATGATAAATAAATTAATATAAAACATGTACATTGATGATATGAATATGGAGACAATGTAGAATTGAGTACAAAATGTGTACTATCATATTTTGAATCATGATATAAATTTGAATATAATAAAAATAAAAGTATTGAAGAATATTGTTCAAATGGAGTATCAATAAACATAATAAACATAAACATGATTAATATTTGAATAATCAGATTAAATCATTAAATGAAGAAAGAATAAAATAATAAATAATAATTAGGATAACAAATACAAAGAGAAAGAAATAAATAGATTTATATGAAATAAAATAAATAAGAAAATAGAAATAAAGAATAAATGATAAAAAGAGAATAAAAATAATAAATAATAGAAATAAAAGAATAACATAAAACAAAAAGAATATAAAGAAATATCAATAAAATAAAAAGTAGTTAATTAAGTATTAATAGAACTTGTGTCTATTGTTCCTGCCTCACCGGAAACTAATCCCATCCCTGAGTCTTCGTCATGTAGTTCAACTACATATGTTTGGTTGTGATCTCCACAGTGTTCCATGACGTCCATCATGTTCCTAATTACAATGTTTTTGATTTCTTTAGTGATGTCAATTTCGATTTTTAATTGTTTGATTAATTTAATACTTTCCGCATTTACTAGCCCATTAATCGAAATTACTACTGGAATTATTTTGACATCCTTTATTTTCTCTATTTTCATTACCCTATTTTTTAATTCCTTATACATATTTCTTTTCTTCCAATACCCTCCATTAATATTATGATCTGCCACAATATTCATATCAAATATTAGACAT